CGGATTTCCAGAGCTGTGGTAACATGCTGGATTGGTTGGATAGGCAATACTTGTCCAATGGAGCTCAAATTTGGATATGTTGTAGTTAACATCCATTGGAACAAGTCTCATGAAGATCATGACCTCATCCGAGCACCAGAGCATGTTGATCCCAGGCCAAGAAGTTGACCTACGAAAATGAACAAAAACAGAATTTATAACTAATAACGCACTTTTAGCTCATTTTCATTCCAACCAAGGTAAAATCTAAGAAAACACAAAAAGGAAGTAAAAAGCTATAAAATGTCAAGAACTAACTCAAAATAGTGGGTGAATAACATGAAAAATCATGTATAAAAATGAACCGAACAATATACATCAGAGTTATTAAATCAGACCTGTGTTTGGTTTCAATCTAATCAATTCATTATTTACAAGCTGTGACCAATCACACTGAAAAGAGGTCAAACATGCATGTCAAGGAAAGAGCAACAGAAAAAACCCAAAACTTTCCAAATAATTCTGCAGCAATATCCAAACCAGTTTCTTCTTTGTTGTAGTCCTCCTTCCATCCCAAGTGTGGAATCAACCTTTGTTGTAAGTCCTACATGACCGTCTATATTCATCAACTTCACCCTGTCAACCACGCAAAAAAAATATTTGAGCAAAGAATATATAAGATACAAGAAATTCAGATAGTCACCGTCACCGTGGTCTCCACTCCCATCTACCATGCCACACCACCACTCTCTTGAATCTTCAATTCCTTATTTATGTCCGTTGCTCAAGTGATATATTCTTGCAAAATGAAGATAAGACCGTTCAATTCTTAGATTGCGAATTTTAGACCGTTGATCTCAAGTTGATTTTTGCATAAATGTTTAGTCGATATTCACAATTTGACATTACAACATAAATAAAAATACACAATATGCAAGTCAAAACAAAATTTCCCAACATTCTTTTCTCAAGACTTAGACCCAACGATACGTCTCAAGTCCTCCGAGGAAAATAATATTTTGATTTGAATTGGTAAACACTGGCTGCTTATATATAAGCACCTTGGAAAGTTAACTCTGCTTGCAGTCTCTCAGC